TGGTGCAGTAAAAAATTATCAATAAATACATAAATATATGGGGTGAGGTGAGTAGCGTTCATAAGGAGGATTCACAACCTTTAAGCTCATTAAATGCTTTCAATTTCTATGACGAATTTGATGGGTTCTAATATTATTTGAGACTACGAGTAGATCTTATTTTGTTTAAGAAGATGAAATACTTGTAGGTGAATTTTCCCACATCTCGCGTTTCCTTTACATTTCGCATGCTTCATAAAAGGTTGCGCCCTAGGGGGCTGTTAAATGTGATATTCTTACTAGAAGCAGGGATACGGTAATCACTCGAAGTAGAAAATATTAGTTAAATCTACTTTTCGTTTGTAAGTTGGTTTTCGAGACTATCAGCAAATAAGATACATCAGATGTATTCACCATGTTTCATTTTCCCACAATTATATGAATAGATTTTACATTTCGATTGAATTTCACATCACTTAACTGTCCAATTAACAGGTCAGACTAGAAAAGTTGTTTGACCTTGTTTCAGCAACTTAGTCATAATGGCAGAAAGACCTTGAGGAACGCAACTTGTCTGGAGTCCATAGTATGCGTGATCATTTCCAGAGTTTTACCTGCATCGTAGTGAGAGTCATCAGTGAGTTTAGGCCACTATGAATGAGATTGTAGGACGATGATCCGATGACTTGTTAGCACAAGTCGACAGTCTTATCTTCACGAAAATCCTCCTTTGGTTCCCCAGGATTCCATATCACGAATTTATTCTAACCAACTTTTTCTTTGAACTCCAAAGTCAGGTCACAATATATTACTAGATACTATCAAATATCAATTTATTCAATATTCATTAAAAGTTTGAAAAACTTTCTTCCATATTTCAGCATCATACTTTTCCGCGTATAAATTATTTGTCATAACTGCTTGCATCAGGCCGTGCTTGACATGGAACTGTAGCCACAGACGTAAACAGAATGAGTATGCTTTTTTGACGGAATTTTATGTAGTGCTAATCTTTTGTCTCAAGAATAAAGAAAGAATGGCTTTCGATTAGTCTAAATGTCACCAAACAACATTTGCTATTTTTCCCTGCTTAATGCCTCGTAGCCGCACTCATTTATAATTTAAAATGTTATTCGTGCGGGCTTATTAACACGTAGGCTTCCTGTCAGACTAGGTGGCTCTAAGGCAGAATCTACCAGTTTGATGTGAAATGACAATCCTGCATGGCTGGAGAAACTCTTTCACGATACGCTCCTCCATTGACTTGGACGACACGCCAACTGGGGACCTGTATAAATGATGCTTACCATATTCTGCAAAGTCTTGGCCGCCGGTTGACCGGCCACCAAGCCGCTCCGAACTGAATTTTGATTCATGTTGTGGGCCTTTAATAGATTCTCCCTCTCGGCCGTTGTGGTGCACATGACCTGGAGGTTGACATGAAGAGCAAAAAGCAGGAGAACAGCAAAAACGAGAGCCAATTTCATTTCTTACAATTTTTATGTATGACCACGAAGTGCTGGTTCTAGGTCCAGCATTTTACATTCTTTCTTCACATGTTCAACTCACCAAGCCTGCCCTTCGTGATCTGACTTCAGCGTGACCTCGGCAACAACTCTCCAGTTTTCCCACCCACAGTAGGTCACTATTCTCGATAATCTCCAATGCCCTAATGTTTGGTAGTATTGCACATGGAGGTTGACATGAAGAGCAACAAGCAGGAGAGCAGCAAAAAAGACAGCTCATTTCATTTTCTACTACTACCGGTAAATCCGAAACGGTAGTCCGCCCTGAATGAGAACACCTTTTGGGAAAGCAAAGCCATGTCAAATTCAATGAAATCGTCAGCTATACTCACATAATTGTGGAAAAAGACAACTACCAGCCCTTCATTTCCTTCACCGAAATAAGATGAACACAACTCATAGGCTACTCGTATTGTGGAAACATTGTTTTATCAACAGTCAGTGCACATTTTTGCCAGAAGATCCGTGACATTAAGTCGAAACGGATTAGGGTATTGTAGACGCTAGCCTACAGAAGACAATGAGTGTTGTATAAGCATAGTGAGTATTTGATGTAAAGACTCCTTGTCCGAAATCGTTTGCTATACTAGTCATCACAATTCCCTGCGTCGGACCGTGAACTTGGTACATTCTTGCTATTCTCCCTATCAAGCTACCACAACAAGCTGCATCAAAGAGACAACAAAAAAGTTAATCTTAGAGTGGCTTTGATTTCGTTCGAGGAGGCGGGTTAAAAGGATTCCTAATTTTTTTTCGCCGTGAGCTGTAGGAATATCGCAGTGGAGTCGCGACTAGATTTGTACGAATAGATCCCCGGCGCATCGCCCTGCGATCCCGATGAATCCTTGCCAAGCTTCTGTCCGTCGTGCAACTGACATCGTCAGTGTTGGACACAATACTTAACGATAATTGACTAAAGCACGAAGAAAAGAAAGGTGGCCGGCTTCCAACTTACCAACTTCTTATAGTCTGAGGAGCTATTTGCATAAATCAAGCCACAGCTTCTGGTGAGACCAACTTATGAATTCCTTCCACTCGCCTCTTCACACGAAATTAAAGGTACTCCAACAGCAATCAATCAAGGGATTCCTCGAATCCCAATTTTTCTGCATAACTAAGTCACTCTGACAACGGGGTCCGACCTTTTCTGTACAACGAAAGGAGACGGCAACCAAGACAGAGGCCACAACATATTGGTCTTCATAGCTAAGGGAGCTTACTTTACCTCGCATGGATTGGGTAAGATCGTTCTCTTCTGTTTGGGCCAAATTTCCCCGAGCTTAAGGCTGCAAAAGAATCATCGAAGTCATTTTGTTTCAATTATTATTATTAATATGAAATGGCGGATAGAAGGGTTTAATCAATTGTCCCGACCGAGAGCTTAAGGGGGATTTCTTTGTGGTTGTTGCTGTAGATTTTGGTAAATAAGTTCTCTGTCATCCCCATATCCTGCTAAGGTTTTGCCTCGAGATCAGTCTATGTGCTCTGCAAGTTGTCATATTTGTACTCACAAACCGCTTGATGCAGCTTTTTGTTTTTTTTCTCCATTTCTGTACCACTCTTCAACAAGACCGAAAATCTCAAACTCGAGACTGTTCCAGTTTATTCTGAACAGTCTTTCTCTTCAAGGTTTTGTATAAGAATCAATGCAAAGTATACAACATTTCTATTATGTGCTGGCCCACTAACACATTCTTTTTTGATTAATCTAAAATTTCGCAATTGTTATATTGACGTGTGCCTACAATCCACATTCACATTCATTTATTTATCTACTTTGTCGGGTATGCTCTCTATAAACTGAAGACTGTTTGACTTAAAAAACAACTTTAAAAAGTAGCGGTCAGATGAC